ATTTTATCTGCATCCAATCCCTTCATCGAGATGAGACCCTCAGAGGGGTTCAAGAAATGTCTTTTGCAGTGCTATGCATTACTTTTAAACAGCACCTTTCACCAAAAATTTATTCCATCAAAGCCATTTGTATTTAAACACTGAAATGGAAGCGTTCATAAATGTTAGTTCTGTAGATCATGTGCACCAGTGACAACTTTTTGCTGGATGAGCCCTGAGTTTCTAACAGTATTACTAAAAGAAGTAGGTGAAGAGATGAGGCAAGAAAGGAAAAGTGCATTTCTAGCCAAGATATAATGCGATACAGAACAAGCTCTGAAAGCAGAAGAAAGCCTTTCCAAATACGAGAAATTACCGAGTGTATTTTTGTAGGATTTCCAGCTCCCGTTGAAGCAGAAAATGCAAGAAATCTCAAAGGTGACTCTTGATCTCAAAAAAAATGAATGCCAAATTTCTTTAGACTTTACTGAATTCAAAATTTTGAAACATTATGCCCCAAAATTATTTAACTCAACCTATAACTATCCTTCCCTTTATTCAGTACCTCTCTTGCTTTTATTCATATTTTTCTTAATTTCTTCTACCAGACTCCAAACAAACTCTCTTCTTCCTCCTCTACTTTCTTCAATTCTCACTTTAGAGCCTTGTCAATCGCTTTTTGTAAAATTCAAGATGATGGATCAAATATAGGCAAGCAGAGGGTAGAACATAATAGCATACACCTCAGATATATGATTTCCTTGATTTTTTTTAATAATACATTTAAGACCAACTTAGACCTTTGTTCTTTCAAGATATTTTTTGTTCTGAGAGTTTGCATGTCCCCCATGGAGTAAAACCTTCCATGAAAGTTTTTACACCCATCTTTGAGGGGACAGAGATCTTACAACAACTTTTCTACTTCCAAAAAATTATCCAATATGCTTAATCTTCATGCTCCTCCTAATGGGAAGCCTTTAATATGAATCATTGGCCACCATGCTGCCGTTCAGGCATAACAAATGCCTATAAAATCAAACATCCTTCTACAGAAAATCTTTATCAGGGTTATAACTTAACCATTTTTGACCCATAGTGAACACTTTGTCTTCTCTAGGAAAAAGAACAACTGTTATATATTCTTCACTTATCACCAAGCCACTGATCTTCACAGTTCCTTTGTCTACTTTGCACTACACACACTAGTTTGTTTTTAATCAATTAATAACCAAATCAGAGGGGAAAAAATGTGGTTTGGTTTTGGAGTATGATTAAAATTCTGGTTTTAATATCTTTTTACAAGTGTAAAAATTTGTTTGCTGTTTTAAAGTGCTGAGTTTGATTGCAGGTAAAGTGCTGAGTTTAATTGCAAAACTTTTAGTGCAATTTCTTTAGTAAGTCTGCCTGCAAATCTGGTATGCGGGAGTATTTACTTACTGCCAATAAAGCCTTCATTTAGAAATTTAGGTTAGATGAATAAATGCCGGGATCTCTAAAATGATTCAAATTCCAGCTGTTTGTGTAAAGCGACAAGTTAGATGTGCAAAGGCAGCTCAGCTGGGAAGAGGCTTTACAGTCAGCTAGTCAGATAGGTCAGCATAAGTTATAACTTTACAAGCTATTTCTGGTAGCATGCCAGAAAGAAAATGGACCTGGCTTTTGCAAAACTAATGAGTTGAAGTATGGCTTTTGTTCAGATCATTGAGTTCTCCAGAGGCCTTAACTACAGAGGTAGAGAGCTTCAGGATCAATTAGTGAGATTTCAGTTAACATTGACAAAACTCCAATTTTTAAATCAACTTGGTATTTCTTTTGCAAAAAACAAGGGCAGCTTTGACAAACATACCATTTTACTGCAGTGCTGAAATTAAAAGCTGGAGCAGTGGCTGGGCTTGGTAAATTGTTAACAGCTTGAGTGATTTCTCTCAGATATGCAGACAGGACACATTAAACTATTTTAAGTGTCATTCAAAGTGAGGAATCAAAATGAATGCCCAGAACCTGTATCTATCTGTCAATGTATTTCTCCCAGCCATTTATCTCCTGTTTCTTGCTACCAGTTCTGAATCTTGAGGGATTGCTATGCTACAGTGACACTTGCAAACGGCAGCCCTGGATCCTAGTTCATCCACAGACTGGGTGGAGCATGCTTCTTTTCTGCTTCAGCATATCTTTTCTTATCTAACCCATTCTGAAGCATCCCAAGCCAGCATAAGACACACAACAGTGTACAGAGCCTTTAGTTTCTTTGCAGTGCTTTGTACTTTTCATGAAAGGACGGGGGATCACCAATGCAAGTTTACTGTCATTCACCCTTCCACACCATTTCCCTTCTCAGTAAACTCAGATTACAAAGTCTGCCATTTAAAGGCTGGGGAACTTCAATCTGTCATAGAACCATTCTGTACTGCTAGTCACAGTTTAATCTTAAAGAAAACCAAGAGAAGAAAAACACCAGCCAACTCCTTTTCCTTTCCTGCCGTTTCCCATTTGTATAGGTCAAGCAATGCAAATACTTGAGCTGCTGCAGAATTGTAAAGGAAAAGCAGGCAGCCAAAATAACTAAGCTCTTTTCTTGGGCCCTGAAAAAATGTATCCCTATCTTTTTCTTTTGCTGTATTTCCAGATGTAATGGCTGCTGCCCTACTTATCTTGATGTGTTTGCTGCAAGGATACTTCTGTCTCCAGCCTTACAGCAGTATCATGAGGAAGCCAGGGAGTCTGAATGCTGAATCCTTCAGCGAGTTGCTCTTCCCACCCCTCCCAGGAAAGGCCAGGCGAATGTGGCTTTGGACAAGTATAACCAGACAAGAAATGCTAATGTGATTAGTTCCTAATGGGTATAATGTTGCGACATCATTAAAAACTGAAAACTGGATATAAAATGCAATCAAATCATAATTCTAAGAATTAGTTTTACACTGACTTTCCAAAAGTTGTTTTGAAAGGCACTCAGTTGCAGCCATATGGTTTTAAAATGTCATTGAGACAGTCTTTCCTTTTTGGGTTTAGTTTTTCCCTCACCTTTGTGAATAATGTTTTGCTAGTTTATTAAAGGAGACAGCCATTATTTTTGTGGCAGCAGCTCACAACAAGCAATGAAAACACTGACTTTGCACACTTTTCTGCATACATGCACTAGATCTCACTGATATGACTGGCTGCAAAGCTATCATAGGACTTGCTCCTGGGAACAAATACAAATCATTTGCTTAGGCCATGTCGGGGGGACCGCTCTGATAAAACCAACCATTTGCATATTTGCTCCTTCCCTCCTTGTCTTCCCAAACCAAATCTAACTGAAAGTTTGGAAGATCTGGATGAGCTAGTAATTTTTTAACTCTTTGGCTGAAACACAACTGTGGATGAGAGAAAATGCTGTGAGAAAGCATCTCTAAGCTTGCAAGACACTGGGGAACACTGGCAATACTATGGGAAAGCTCAATCACTTGAGATTTCCAGACATAAGTTCAGATACACTTTAAAACACTGACATGGCAGAAAAGAAAAGAGAGATGGACTGGGACAGACTCTCGAACTGAACAGACTCAGTTTGGGTAAAGGGGAAGGAACTAGAAGTTCATGAAAAGAGATGGAAAGCACAGGGAAAGTGAACTAATGTTTAGCATGAGAGATGGGCAAATACTTGGTTCAAAAAGACCAAACTTTAGCTAAAGCATCAGGAAGGTGGGAGAACAGGCCCAGGTTTGGTTTAGAAAGAATCAAGATGAAAGTTTCACTGAGGCAGACAGGAAGAAACCCAACACATTTTCTCAAATGACTTCTTCCTTAAACAGCTGTTTTACAGCTAAGAATATTTAGGGCAACCTGGATGAGTATATTAAAAAAATGCTACCCAAGGTCACGAGCATAGGAAGAACTTTAATAACTGAATACAGACTCTGATGATCAAGAAAGGAGAGAAAAGACCTCTGAAATTTGTAGGCTTACTATGTTTTTCCCCCTTTTTGTCTGAATTCAAAGAAACAGTTACTTGACCTCAACCCATTCTCCTGAGCTCTTCTCCCCCAGCCTTTTAGCGCTGACCATCTTCTGCGCAGACATCCCCCTCAGACACAGCCCAGACACCAGTGATTTCATGTCAGGGAATACTTGTATACCCTCTGTAGCCCTTACAAAGTTTTTATGCTCCTAGCAGTTTCCCTTCTGGAGCTGCTGGGCGGCTCAATGGCGTGAGTTTATGCCCTAGTGCTTGTTGGGAGGCATGAACTGTGAGATGATCTCCCGCTAAAGCTGAATTAAGAGAGGCCTTGAGGTCGGGTGGGAAATGTGGAGCAAGAGTTTGGATTCCCTATACATGGCAGTTTTAATACACCCCGCTCCCTGCCCATGCTTTTCTGAAAATTACTGGCCCAAATACCAGTATTATATATCCTGCATTTTGGGGTGTTCCAGAGCCATTTCAATTTATTCCTAATATTGGAAACAGTGCTATTTTAATGAAAAGAGCCAAAATCAAGCTATTGAAGAGAGTTTCAAACACGGGGTATCACAATAAAATACTTCCAGGAAAGGGCTGACAACCACAGCTGCATAAAATGGGGATTTAACTCTTCTGTAGCAGCTTTATAGCTGATCAGTAAAATGGGAGAAAAATCAGTTTTCCTAAGGAGCTGGCACAGAATGTTTAGCTGCCTAAATGGCTTATTGTAGAAAATATATTTATGTGAGAGGAAATGAAGTCCGGAAGAGAACCAGCTCTGGGCTGAGTGAATTTGGAAAGGTTCTTTCACTGTCTATGTAAGTTTGGTGTATAAATCAAAATTATTAGGGCTTAATTTTTAAATTTTGTTTCTTAATTGGGAGGAGAACCTGCTGCTAAAAAAAGCCAACATCATTTTAATGGACTCATTTGCTGAAAGCATGCAATTACAGTTTGACCAAAATGCAGTGTGGGTCACTGCAGGCAGCACACAGACAATTTGACCAAGAACCCTCCTTCCCTCCCAGACACACACACGAGAAACGCACATACTGCACTGTAAGCCACTGAGCTTTACCTTTCTGGAGCTTAGACGCATTGTCCTGTATCCAGCTGAAAAGATTGGCAAAGTCACAGTCACAGACCCAAGGGTTGCCCTCTAAGCGTATAGTCCGCAGGGAGGGAAGCGCTTCTAGGGCTGCCACATTTAGGCTTTGTAAGTTATTGTCATTCAATTCTAACACTTGGAGCTGTTCCAGGTTCTCAAAAGCAGCCTCATCCACATCCACCAGGTTATTGTTTCCAAGGCTCAATTTTATCAGTTTTTCTGCTGATTTGAATATCCCAGCATCAAGCTGTGTTAAATTATTGTAGCTTAAGTCTAAATACACCAGTTTGGTAGAACTGCTAAAAGTGCCCTCTTCTAAAGAGGTGAGGGAGTTATTCCTGAAGTCCAAATAGACTAGATCTCCATAAAATATAAAGAAATCAGCTGGTATCACCTGAATGTTGTTATCAGCTATAAGAAGTTTCCGTACATCCAATGGAAATGGATTAGGAACACTTGGGAGTCCTTGATCCCGGCAATCTATGGTATGGTAGTCCATACAGCTGCAGACGGCAGGGCAAAAATGACCCACAGGTAAGAAAAGCAGGCAGGCAAAGACAGAAAAAGGCAGAAGGCAGAAAGGAAAGCATGGCAACATCGTCAAGGATTTGAAAGCTATGATGAGCACCACTTCTAAGAGAAAGACATTTTGCTCAGCTGAGCAGCAGCGCCTGGTACTTGTGTGCGTGTGTGATTGTATCCAGGAGATCACATATCATCACAGATCCGATAGCAGCAGTCTTGGGAGGGGGGAGGGAGAGTGACTGAAGGAAAGAGGGAGGGAGGCAAATGTGAGGATTTACACAGTCAGAATAGTATAATGCTGTGCAGTGTAAGGGAAAGCGATGATTGGGTAAACGGAGGATCTTTCAAAGGACTCCCTTGCTTTTGTGAGCTAAAAAAAGCTGAGAGCCTGTTTGCATATTTGCTGTATATTCCAGCAAACGGGAAATCACACCTGATCCTGTGATCCGACAGCAACAGCTTATGCTTAAAAAGCCCTTCAGGTAATAAACCCTGATAAAATCACTTATTCTGTTTCTTCGCAGGAGCCTACATCAAGGTGACCAATACCCTACAGAAATGCAAGCGAGGGTCAGGGAAGTATCCTGGTTGACTGCTTAGGACTGTTTTCCCTTTCATTTGTAAAAGAGGGAGCAGAAAAGCAGCAAGGGGGGGAGCCCAAAGACAAGGAACGCTGACTTGTGCTCTTTCTGGATGCCTTCTCAGCTTTTGGAGCAAGCATGTTAACATTGTTTAAATATGACTCATTATCTTTTAACCAAAAAGTATAACCTACTGTAGCAACAAGGAATATGGTCTCAAAAGTGCGGAGTTTTTTCCTTCCTGTTTTAATGACCAAAACAGCTACTTTCTAATATGGCACCGGTAATGTCTGTTGGGCCAAATAAAAGTGCAAATTGTGGATCAAATCTTCAGCTAGTTAAAAGCGAACAGATTTTCATCATTTTCAGGGGATTGAAATATTAGACAATCAATTTGCCCGTCTCCCATGGGACAGCAGAGATCATTTTGCAAAAAGGATCTGTGTTTTTCTGACATCCCAAATCCAGAAAGGCAAGTCCTCTGCCAGCTGCAAGCTTAACTTTTAACTCCATCTCCTCCCTCTTTATGCACGTTGTGTAAGCAGACAGAAATGGGACTCTACTGCTTGGGCCACACCTATGTGCTATGAGGGAAGATTTTTCTAAAGAGATGGATTGTATTTGGGTGCCTGTGTCCTGAAGATTAGAGCACAAACTCAAACACCTTTGGAAAGCTCATTCCTAGGTCAAAGAGAGGCCAGTAATCTTTCATTTAAGGTTGTATTTCATAACTGAATTCAGAGTATCTTTCATCCAGGACAGGGTACAAAAATTTCCTTCTAAGATAGCCTATCCTCCCAAGATACCTGCACTTAAACTCAAATAATGAAAGTAGTATTATCAACCTCTCCTTCAGTAAGTATGTAGAAACACTGAACTGCTGGGAGGGAACGAAGAGGGAGCCAAACTGTTCTCAATAGTGCCCACTTACAGAAAAAGAGACTATGAGCACAGATTAAAAATCATCTGAACACAAGAAAACACTTCTTTTTTACTGTGAGGGTGGTCAGACACTGGAACAGGTTGCCCAGAAAGGTTGTGGAGTCTCCATCTGCAGAGATATTCAAAATCCAATTGGAGACAGCATTGGCCGAACTGCTCTGACTCTGCTTGAGCAGGGGGATTGGACTAGATGATTTCCAGAGGTCCCTTCCAACCTCAGCAATTCTGTGAACTGCTGTTAGGAAATCAACATGCCAGGAAGGGTTATACGTTTGAACACCTCTCTCTCACATTTTGCAACACGCCTTGTTTCTAATTCATAGGTCTTTTAGCTAAACCACCTTGAGCCAGCCTCTAGATCTCTCCCATAAACACACATCCTGCTCCAGGTGTCTTTCATGTCTTGAATTACTTTTAAAACACCACCCAGAAAGAAATGGGCACAACTGCCTCTATAAACCACTACGGCAAAGCCCAATTAAATTCCTGAGATGATTATTTAAAATATTTACCTTTAAATTACAGAGGAAGTGCAAGTTTGATAGGCTACCTCTGAATAAAAAAAAACCATGCAAAATAACTCCTGTGGTCAGGATTCAATGAATCAGCATCAACAAATAACTGCAACTGGTATTTCTCATGCAGAATTGATGCTTTTTAAACTTTTAAGGCCGTACCTTGCACACACTTGCTCCTGCTGTAATTTACTGGTTTTCTGCCCCTAATTCAATTAAGGCTTTAGGTCAGAGATAAAGCTGTTCCTAATGCAGGAAAGCATCTGACTTGATATCTTGTAGTAATCTTGTAGTAACTTTATATAGAGAGATCTATCTCTCTATTTAGTGAAGTTATCAACACACAGGACTTAAGGGTCCCTATGGCTCCTCCTACGCAGACCCACCCTTTTTCTATCAAATGTACAGAATCAGACTCTGACATTTTCTTTTCAAAGATGCCTCAGTGTTATTATGCTTATTTCACAGATGGGAGACTACAGACAATACGGCACAATTTGTGAAAGATCCAAGAACTTGTTAGTGGCAGGGGTGGGAACAGGACTCAGCTTCCCTAAAAATTCCACCAGCCCTTGCTAAAACTACCAGTCCTTTCTGTAAGAAACAGACCTTTCTTTTGCTTAGCTGCTCATGTGTATCCTTTACATATTACCCCCTGCAGCGAAGCACTGTAAGCAATACTATCTTCACAGCTTATTCTGCACACTCATATGCAGTTTGCAATTTCTCCACGGAATCTGTGGAGCTTTCCTGTCTGAGATATTTGTGAAGGGGTTGCAGGAGACTAGGGATTACTATCAGACTCTGGATATTTTGGGATAGGTATCCTGTAGGTTTGTCAAACATCAGCCCTGCTCCCAAAGCATCCGAGCAAACAGAGTTTCACTGCCAACGCGTAACAGCACTGATCTTCAGCTACACAAGACCAGCTGCAGTGCCTGCCACCACAGGCCACCTGCCACGGTCTGACACCTTTCTCTTGCTGTCTTTGATTTTGGAAAGCTTCCTCCTGACCTGTCTTTCTCTGTATAACATTTCCTGTTTCATTTTGTCTGTTCAGCTTTCTTCATTCCTTAGCTACCGCTTATTTCTGTACCTCACCTGTTTCCCTCATAGCATAGAAATTCTCTTGAATCTTTTTGAAGCTTCATTCACTTGCCAGACATTTCAGGCAATTTTGGATAGCAGGAAGGAGATTCTGCAAAGCTTTCTATCTAATAACATATTAAAACTTTATTTCTTAAATCTTTTATTTGCATCAGTTACAGTAACCTGTACTATTAAATAAGGGGTTTAGCCTGGTATCTGCTGAGAGCACAGCACCCTCTTGTGCCCTACAGGACAGCGGTCATTCCACCACCACTCTGGTCTCTTCCAATAAGCTATTAGCAAGTTTTACCATACTCCTATAGTTTACCTATACTCTGAGTTCACTTCTTCCTCTTCCGGTGGCCTATTAAAGAAACCCCTATCACTCCATGCAAGAATATAAAAGATATAATCCAGGTGGTGTTCTTATGTGCTATTTTTAGGGAGGAGTACAGTAAGACAGCAGAGGTGTCACAGAACAAGCCTAACTAATGCATAGACCTGAGAAGGGAAGCAAATGCAAGTAGCATAGCAAGCTTCTAATTCCCTGATTGCACTAAGTCAGAGGAGCCAAATCACAAACGTATTGTATGCTGCCGCTGCTGTCATTTGAATTTCATTCTACCTGCACAGCCTGTCATACCTTTTGGCTATGTGTTACAGTAACAGGGACACTAGATCATAGATTGCCAATCACCTATTGGATCTGCATTTTTTTTTTTTTTGAGGAAATTTTAAAGTACATCGCAACAGTTAACGCGTATCAGGACTTTGTTTGGCTTCAACTGACACTATGGTAAAATACAAAATTGCTCCAGTGAGTAGTCTCAGAAATAAAGATTTGTTTATAATCTATGGTTCTTCAGTACTCCCAAGCAAAGCCCTCATAGCTTCCTCACCTATTATGCAAAAATACTTCCAGTACTGAATTTTAGTCCATACTGTTTTGAAAAAGCACAAGCTTCCCAATTAGAAGTCGATGCCAAACAAAAAAACCAAATATTCTTCTCTCCACATAGATGGGATCTCACATAGATCAAATCTCAACTATCACCTCATTTATCTATGATTCTGGCTTCCTGGCTTCCCTAAGGCAAGAAGGACAGGATGAGTTTGAAAAACATGCTTGTAAAACAAACAGGGTAACAATTTTATAATCAAAGAACTACAGAGGAATTTGTGTCAAATCCTTTTGTAGAGAATGAGGAAGCAAAAACAATTTCTCTCCATACCTCCCAGTTGTAGGAGTTGAATAAGCACAACAGTAGGCAGGTTTTGGACTAAAACAACAAAGATCCGGCTTTCCATTCCTTTAATTTTCTATTCAGGATACTACTAAGAGAAACCTCTAAAATAAAACAGTGAGTGACAAGCCACACTGGTCCTGGATCTTCAGTGTGCTTGCAGTACTATATCATGGCAAGTAGCAGGAAACTAACAAAAAACATTCACTTCCTTCCCTAGTGAAGTAAGAAATAGCTTTGCGGAAAAATGACAGAGGTTTCACCTTTCCCTTAGAAACTTCCAGCACGTCCCTTAAAAGTGCTCAAAACTTCCCAAAATAATTTGAGTAATGGAAGAAAAAAGAAAGAGCAATCGCAGTACAGACACACATGAAGGATTCAGATCTCAGTCAATAAATCCTTAGAAGAGAATGAAACTGAAAACTGTCCATCCTCATTCATATTGTTGAACAGCTAATTGAGCATATTTTTCCATGAAGGAAGTTATTATTCCAGGCTTATGCTTCATTAAGTTAAGGTACATGTCATGTCCGAGACTGCTGTACCAGGTGCACATAATGATTGCAAAGGTTTTCCTTCTCATTATCATACATTAGCAATGTGTCATGGGACCCAATGTTCAAAATTCAGTGACTAACAGTATGTTAATCGATTAATCAAACACTGAAATCAAGTGCTAAACAACATCTCTGAACAGAAGTCCCATTTTTATTCAGATATTTACCATTTTGACTTTAGTGCTTTTTTCTTTGGAGAAAAATCTTCCCCTGCTATGACCAGGCACATTTTTATGAATGCAGCCAAGGGGCA